AGTTTTTAATAAATTTAAAATATCAAGTTTTGTAGGTACATTCCAAGAAGTTTTTTGCACGTACATATTATATGTATTACGTATTCTCCCTTTAAATGAATATCGAACGCATTCATCAGTAATTATATTGTATGTATTTTCCGTACTGATAGCAGAATTAGATGTCAAATATTTATCCAAAAATTTTCAATTAACGATATTACATAAAAATTATATTAAAAACTGTTGACTGACAGGATTATCGTTTTAATTTCTATTTTTAGTAACTTTTACTTTGTTCCAGATTATAAAACCTACAAAGCGTTATTATTTTATTTTTTGTGAGGAAGAAATATATTACCAGACGTGTAACGAATAAATATGATATGGTAACTGTTATGAACAAGTAAAAAACCGCAATTTATGTTATTTCAATCAAGTTCTTTTATTTATACAGTTGAAACTCAACAATTTTTCAAATAAACTTATAGTATTTTTTGTATATACGTAAATGAAAAAATTGCAAGGCTGGATTGTTAAATTATGTATTACTCATTTCATTATTGTTTACATTGTGCTTCAAAAACTTTCTCTATGGATAAGAAATTAAAATGATATACAGAAAAATACTGTACTTTGTTTAGTTTTGTAATGTTCTTTCTTACAGGAAATTTTGAGATTCTTAATAAAGGAAGATGTGTGTGTGTGTGTGTGTCAATAATAAGTGGAAAATTATACAAATCTGTACTTTATAATTTACATCATATTTCTTATCGTAACAAGCAAATTTTTGTTGTCTCTTTATGATGATAAATTTTTGTTAAGGACATAAAACTAAGTAGACTTATTATGAATTAAAAATATGCGAACTCGTTAAATTTTTTAAATTATTTCTAAAAGAAGAAAATATTATGCGACAGGAAGTTAGTTGATTCATTTTCGCACCATATATCCGACACGTCAAGTTCTATAGAAGACTAATTAACCAAGAATCTAATTATCATAAAAATCATATATTCATAACGAGATGGTACAAGTTATGTACCTTATGAATAATTATTTATTACGCGCTCATTGCACGTAAACAGACTACAAATAAGCTTCGTACACGCGTGAGAAAATTTTCACGAACACTAATTATGTATCCATACGAGCATCAACGACTTCAACATTTTCCCAAGCAAAAGTACTTTAGCCATCGATTCGAAGACTGGCCGAAGTAACAATAACCAGCGACAATTTTCAACAGAAACTCCTGTTTAATTGACAATAACGTCGCTTATGGAAGCCCCCTGCTTTCCATAATTGTCGCTTATGCACGCCTAACAACGGCTAGGAGGATATTCCCGACTGCCGGATAGGGTTGTTGGATAGTTGTTTCGTGTTTGTGGTGTTACTGCGACGCTTCGAGTACACTTGCCGAGGACGAGGACTCGCGGGCTCAGAATGGCAACAGTAATGGCAGTTCAATAATACAACGAGCTACAAGGTGGAATTCTGGTTTTACTGGATCGTCGTTTTCTCTATATGTATGTATATGTATACGAGCGGGGGCGTTCTTTTTTCCATTTCATATTCCTCCTTTACTTTTCGTGATGTTCGTACACGCGGTGACCTGTATGCGAATAACCCACTTCGGCGGTTTCACGTCTCATTTATTCCTGTGGGATCTCTTTGAACAAGCTACAATGAAATCAGAACCTATCAAATAATACGTATTTGTTGATTTTATGGATAGAAAGATGGAGGGATGATGGAAAAGGCCTTTTTTAAATACAGATATGAAAAATTTGTAAAAAGAGATTAACTTTAAATCACATACTCCCCTGAAATTACATAACCTATCAGTGACTAATTATTTCCACAATTCTGGTTTAAATAAAAGAAATATATGACAGAAATGTAATTTATTGTTCTGATTTGCGAGAGTATATAGTATGTATATCCTTGCAACAGCATTTATGAATACATATTTGACAAATCAGTTCATTCAATAGGATTCCTGGAGAAAACATTATTTATTTATTTTATTTATTTCACAAACTCTTTCTAACCTGCGTCAGTAAATGAACTTCAATGTTGTATTTTGATTTTACAAAAAATGGTTCTGTTATACACGACGAATATCTCAATTCAGAATCTTATAACAATATAAATTAAATACATGCATATGTCATTACATGTCATCTATTGCTCATAGATTCATTGAATACTCGCATTTTGAACTTTTGGTTAAATAGTAATAAAAGAACGTTTCTTTTATTTTAATAATCCTAATTCATTCTTTCTTGTACGTCAAAAATTCTAATTCCTG